CACCCGCCCCTGGGTCCCATCCGGAGCCTCCCGGGCAGCGCACTCACAGGAGGAGAGCGGAGACCAGCAGGACCGAGGCCCAGAGCGCCCTGCGCCGACAGCCCGTCCGCCGGCCCTGCTTCTGGTACATGCGGCCCCCGCAGTTCCCGCAGCAGCGGCAGCAGCAGAAGCAGCATCCCACCAGCGGCACGAGGAGGATGAAGAGCAGCCCGATGGCTGTGCAGACCAGGAAACCCAGCTCGTACAGCAACAGCTGGCAGGGGAAGAGAGGCAGTGCCCATGAAGTCTTCCCAGCTCTGAGGGTCCCATCCGGACACCCAGGATGGGTCCCCCCCAGGGGTTGCACATCCCCCCTTGCTGCCGGCCATCACCCAGGGCTCAGCCTCAGAGCATCACCCACCAGCATCCCCCAGCCCGTGGTGCTCTGGGCTGCTGGCTCCCTGCTCACCTCCGCAACTTCCTCCCCGGTGGTTTCCTCACTCTCTGACTGCCCAAAACCTGTGATGAGTTCTGGGAAAAAGGAGCGGAGAGGACAGTGAGCAGGCGCTGGACCCTGAGGTGCTGTCTAGGAGGGCCCCAATACCCTGCTCTGCACAGAGAGGGGCCCCCAGCACCAGGCATGACCTCCAATGCTGCAGCTCAGAGTGGCTGTGAGGGCATGGCATGTTTCTCCCTTCCAGCTGCACCTCAGCCTTGTGTCTCACAGCCTTTTGCATCCAGAAGCACTGCCCAGCACCCAGGCTCACAGGGGTCCCCAGAGCAAGGGGGTCTTCACCCCAGGAGGATGCTCCAATAGCCACATTGGCTCCCCTTGGGCTGCTCTCCTGCAGCCCATCCCAGTGTGAGGGTGGTGTGAATGCTGGGGCAAACCCCACCCACCGTGCTGCCTCCTGATCCCCAGAGTTCGTCCTGCCTGTGTCCCATGGCCTCATTACAAGCTGTGCTGGCCCATGGTGTGATTGTGCCCTGCTATATGCGTGCCACTAATAAGGCCACAAAGCCATTACATTGTTTGCCAGCCACAGGTTTGCCTGCAAGTTGCTGGCAAGCAGGGGCTGGGCCCAGAGAAGGAGGAAGCACAAGTGCCAGCAGCCAGGGTGGCAAAACTGCCTGCAAGGCAGCACTTGCCCCAGGGCATCAACCAGCCACAGGGTCCTGGCATCGCCCAATTGGACCTGCCACCACTTTGGGAGAGAGATGTGCCAGCCCCACATCCCCTTGCAGGAGGAGGAGGGAGTGCCTGCAACGCTGCCCTGTGGGTACTGGCACTGGGACACGCTGCTTTTGGTGGCCCCAAACCGGGTCCTGCCTAAGTACACCTTATCACCTGCAAGCACAGAGGGCTGCAAGTCAGGCAAGGGCCCCACAGACTTACAGATACCACAGGGTTTGCTCTGCACCTTCTGCCTGGCATGAAGATGCCTGGAGGGAGGATGGGGCAGGACTCTGCAGGGTGTCACTGCCAGCAAAGCCTCCTCTGGGCCCCATCTGAGGCTGCCCACAGTTGTGATGGGACACAAGCAGGACAGAGCTGGCAGTCGTCAGGAATCCCCCTCCATTTGCCCCCACAATAACCCTCTTAACCCAGCACCCCAGCATTTAAATGCTAGATGGACAGTCTCAGTACAGGAGAGCTCAGACTCAACCAGGACCCTGCAGCTTCAAGCAGCACCCCCACCCCACTGCCAGCCCCCCATCACTACACACCCACCTATGGGCAGGGCGTTGGGCTGCACCATCCGCAGGAATCCATGGACCATCCCCACCAGGCCAGGGGTGCTGCTCCCCGGCGCCTCGGGGCCGGGGCCATACACAGGCTGCGAGATGTTCCCCATCAGCTCCATCGCGGCAGCTCCGGTGAGCACCTGGGCACAGAGCAGGGCTGTCGGTGTGGCTGGGTGCAGGCTCCCCTCCTGCCCTACCTCCTGCCTCCGAGCAGGAAATGTGGGCAGAGAAAAATAAGGCACCTGCTGGGTCCTGCCCGGAAGGAAAGAGCTGCGGGACGGCACCGAGCAGAGGTGGGGATCCTGACCGCAGCGGGGCGGGGGAGCGGGCAGGAGATGCCCGCCAGAGAGGCTGTGGGGGATGAAGCAGGGACCAAACACTTAACCTTGTCCTCCGGCACCTTTGCCCCTTTCGGCCCGGCCGCACAGCGCCAGCGCCCGCGTTTTATGGCTTGTTTAAGGTTCACCTGCTTGCGATGCCGGCATCGCCCTACCCTGCCTCTGCCACTGTCACCTCCTGGCACACGGCCACCCCAGGCTGCCTCTGTACTCGGGTCAGGGTCAGCACCGACCTGCACCAGCACAGGCGAGGGGAGGGGACAGCCCCGTCCCTGCAGAGCTGCCGTGCCCTTTCTGGTTTCCTCCTCTTGGTTTCCTTACCCACGGTGATCCCGAGAGCAGCCATCCCGCCTGCTCCACCTTCAGCACCAGCTGCATCCTTTCAGGATGGGCGCACTGCGCCGGCCACAGCTTCAGCACAAACCAGCCACAGAACCAGGGTTCGCATTTAAAACTTCCCAAACGGGGCGCTGCGGCAAACCCAGCCTTTTCCACACTCACCCCGATCCCCCGAGTGCGGGACAGCCGCAGGAGCCACTCGCGGGGTTTTCACTCCAAGGCTGGAGCTCTGCCCGGCTCCATCCCTCTCCCTGCCCACCGAGGGGTCTCCACGCTGCGGACCCACGCGTGGCTCTGCCGCTGCGACCGCCCGTGGTCCTTCACCCGCGCCCTGCTCCGGGGCTCTGGGACCCGCAGCCGGGGGCAGGGAGGGGGGTCCCGGCGGTCGCTCCCGGTCGTGCCGCGGACGCACCCGGTGGGCGCGGGCCAGGAGCCCCGGGGGTCGTGTCCTGGCGGGCGGCTGCGGCACCAGGAGCTCCTCTGCACGGCTCAGCCCCGCGCCGACACCGCGGGACGGGTGGGCAGGGCTGGACGGGGCCGCCCCTTCCGCCACGGCCCCCCGGGGTCTGTCCGGGGCGTGCAGCCGCCCGGGACCCTCCTTTGCCGGAGGGACCCCCCCTGCACCCGCCCCGCGCCTGCCCCATCCCACCCTGACACCCGGCTCGGGTGCGGGAAGAGCCCATTGCCCCCAGGACCGCCACCCCGTGCCCAGGTGTTGCTCCTGCTCTGCCCAACAGACCCAGCTCTGGCTCCACGCTGCCAGACCCATGTTGGTTCCTCCAGCAGACCACTCTGCCACAGCCACCGTGCCCAGAGCCCCCCACGCTGCCCACCTTGCCCCCACGCCAGCCTTCAGCTGTGCCCCACACCTCCCTGGGGCAGCCAGTGCCCCCCAGCATGGCCCTCGGTCCCTGCATGGGCCATCATGTGCTTTTGAACGGGCCCTGCAAGCGGTCTGCAGGAACCACACCCTACGCCCTTTGTGCTGTGCTGTGATTTAAACCAGGCTCCCTGGCACCCCTGTACCTATGGTTTGCTGGGTGCCACCTCCCCAGTTCCTGCTTCGTGTTCCCTGGCACAAGCAGGAGTCTCTGCTCCCTATGACCTTGGGTGAAGGTGGCACAGGAAGGCAGCTCTGCCTCAGGGTTCCCTCTTGGCCTGGCCCATGCTGGGTGCCAGGGCACTGTGTGGGACCCTCACACTGGCTCAGCACTGGCACCAGGGCAGGAGAGAGGAGGACACAGAAGCAAGGGGAAAACCAGAGCAGGAAGTAGCTCGTTTTTCACAGCACTGGGGCTGATGTAGGAGGGAGGTTTCAGGGTTTCTTGGGCAACCTTGACCTTCCCAGCTCAGACCTCAACCCCAAAGCGTTGCTTCAGGGCTCTCCACCAGCAGAGCTGGGTACAAGGGACCCTGAGTGGGACGGGGACTGCTGCCCTGGGCGCTGCGCTTCTGCATATCCGTGTGCCCCCAGCTCCCCGTGGCTGTGTGAGGGCAGGATCTGGCCAGGCCTCCACAGGATCCTTTGCAGATGGAACGATCCGCTTCCGCAGGGCATCGCTCTCCTTCAGCCCAGGGAACCCCACGGAGGCTGCATGTCAGGAGGGGGGACACCAACACCTCAGCCCTGGTGCCACCACACCATGGGCTCACCAGGGACCACCCTGCTCCTGCCTGCCCAGCCATGAGCTCCCATCATGGCACATCTATCCTGCAACCCCCTGGCCCCCAGTCCTGTCAGAGGGAAGGACAGCAAGGTGGCATCTCTTGGTGCAAGTATCATCGCTGCCCTGGCTGCAGAGACATGGAACCATCCTCCTGCCTCCCCATCAGCCTGATTTTAAGAGCCTGCTTTCCCCTGAATTCCTTTTTCCTCCCGCATTACTGCCAGATCTGCCCCTACCCCACCATTACCCACACCCCATTTACACATTTGGCCAGGAGGGGTGCTTTAGATGAAACATCCAGTTTTAGCCCACTGTGTCCCCAATGCCCCCACTGGGGGCTAGACCCAGCTGCCCCCCACCCAGTAGGGACAGCAAAAAGCCACCTCTGGGGTTAGCTGTCTGCCTTGGTCTGAGGGAACTGGGGTCCAGCACTTTGCCCCCAGTGCTGGCACAGAGGCACCCAGCTTCTGGATTATTGGGGTACCCCCCATGGAGGCTGCTGCTGTCCCTCCTTCTCTGGGGGGGGGGTTCACCTGCCCCTCCTTTGTGCCACCACCACCCTCCCCTCCAGAACACCTCCACACTGCTCCACTGCTGCCCCGCTGCTGCTTCCATTCCCACAGCAGGTCTCCAGGATACATGCCCATCACCTTGGCATCCTGGCAGGCCCGGAGCTGCTTGTTTGCTCTGGCTCAGGGACAGGGCGGTTTCCCAGCAGCCCTGTGCTCTGTCCTTGCTGGGATTTCTGCTTTCCACCACGGCATGGCAGGGAGCCGGCCGGAGCCTGGCTGGGAACCAGGAGCCCAAGGAGAGCCGGCATCATCCTGGGAGCACAGAAGCCGCCCTGCCAGGGCACAGGGGACACGGGGGGGGTTCCCTTGCTTGCATCAGCCGGGTCCCATGCTCAGGAATAAGCGCTCAGGACAGCCTCAAACCGAAAAGTCATTTTATTGGTACCATACATGACTCATAAATGGCACAAACTATGGAGGGGAGGAGGAAAAAACCCAAAACAAAACAAAAAAGAAACAAAAAGGCATTTCAGTGTGCCCGGGGGGGGGGGGGGGGGGGGGGGGGGGAGCGAGGGTCCTGCACCCTCCACAGAGTCTGGCAGCAAGAATCGTACCTTAACTGCAAACCAGAGCCCCTCTCCCCACCACGCCGGGCTCCCACCCTGGAGCCAACCCCCTGCAAAGGGGATGTGGGGCTGAGCCCTCCACCTCCAGGCTGCCCCTGGAGGGGCCCGGGAGCTGATGCAGGCGACTCTCCGGGCATATGGGGCTCGAGAGCAGCCCAGGGCTGAGCCAAGGGGCTCCCATCTCATGCCCGAGCCCAGGGACAGCAGCAGGAGGGGGGACGCAGCACATCCCCCCCTCCCGGCTCGGCCACCCCCTGCAGTCCCAGCCACGAGTGGGCAAGACACAGGGTGCAACCACGGCCCCACGGGGCAGCGGGACACGAGCTGTGAGAACTGGGGGGGGGGCTCTGGTGGAGACAGCGGGGTGCACCCCCGACCCCCCCACCCCGCAGGGCTGCTCCCCCGGCCCCGGGTCCCTTACACACACACAGACACACACAAACCTCTCGCACACGCACCCTTGCACGCGCACACGCACCCCCCACCCCAGCCACCCCCACCCCAGCGCTCGCTGCAACCCCACCTCGGGGGGACCCGATCCCCGGCCACCCCCTCCGAGGCTGCTGGGGTGAGCTGGTGAGCACAGCCGCCCTCCCCCGGCACCTCCCGTCTTCTCCTTGGAAGAAGCCTTGGAAGGGATTTTTTTTTTTTTCCTTTTTTTTTTTTCCTTTTTTTTTTTTTTTAAACCAAAAAAAAACCCCCAAAATTATTATTATTTTTCTCATCGTTTCCCCTAACATCGATGGAGGCACCTGCTCTAGTGATAACACATTGAAAGAACAGTATCGTACACACTGTCTACAGCGCGGAAATGTACAAGCACGAGGTACACGAACCCGAGGGGGGGGAGCGGGGACAACAGCACACAAGATTTACATTGAGGAGGGGGAGCGGGGGGGGCTGCCCCCCCCCGGCCCCTGGAGGGATTTAGAAAGGAAGTCTGCAAAGTCTCTCCTTGGTTTGAAGCTCTCCGAACTGGATATAAAACGAGACTCCCAAGAGAAGAAGCCTGTACAAAAGTCAGGACAGGGTGGGAGGGCTCATGGCAGGGAGGGGGGAACCGGAGAAAGGGCTGGGAGAGGGGGGGGCTTTTCCCATTTTTTTTTTTCCTTTTTTTAAACTTACAATTTTAATAATATTATTTTTTTCTTTTTCTTAAAAAAAGACAAAAGAAGGAGGTACCAGGGGCTGCAAAGGGGCCCCGGGCAGACTCACGCAGGGCAGAGGGGACACAGGGGCAGGGAGTGACAGCAGAGGTGTGGGTCCTCTGTGACCCCATCCAGCTCCATCAAGCCCCCCCACCACACACTTCTTCTATACAGAGTCCCCCCTGACCCTGTTGCGCTCTTGCCCCTGGGAGCGAGGGGAAGGGGAGGGTGCAGGAAAGCAGGGATTGCGACAGGCCCTTATCCTCAACACCACCCCAGTGCAGCAGGATCCGACCCCAGATGGAGGAGGCTCCGTGGCAGAGCTGGCGGCACAGGGAAGGCTTTCCGTCACTGGACACCCTCCATCAGCCCCACGTTGGGCTAGGGATGCGCAACCCCGCTGCAGGCGGCTGCCCAGCAAAACCCAGCCATAGGACCCAGGGGGGAAAGAGGAAGAGGAGGGTGTCTGGGCTGTGCCAGACCCCAATACACTGCCTCAGCACACTGCCGGCTTCCCGGTCATGCCAGCTGCTGCCGACACCTCCCTCCTAATTCCAGCGGGCAGGGGCTGGGCACATCGGGGGGCAGGGATGAGAAGCTCTCCAGGGAAGAAGCAGGGAGGAAGAGGGAGAAGAGGGAATAACGCAGCTACAGCCCCGGAAACCCACCCCTGCACTGGGGTCCGGCGGGGAGGCAGGCGTGGGGGGAGCGGGGAGGCGGCGGGGGCAGAGGGCTGGGGGCTGCTCGCCTGGCCGTGCACCCGCCGATCTGCCCCCAGTACCTCGCCGCTTCCCAGTTACTCTCCGTTGCAAATGTACAGGTAGATCGGTTGGGACTGAGTCCACGGGGCGGCGGGGGGGCCGTTACTGCGACGCCTGCGACGTGGGGTTCTCTGACTTGCTCTCCTGGCTGGAGGGCGGTTTGCTGTTCCAGGGGCTGTTGGCCCCCAGCGCCGGCGAGTTGTTGAAGCTGTCCTCGTCGTCGATGCCGTTAGCGGCGTCAAACTGTGTGTTCTCCAGCCGGGTGATGAGCCTCTCGTCCTCGTCCCCAAACTCCCCCCCCATCAGCGTGGGCTCGCCTACCACCATCACATCCTGAAAGGGGAGACGGTCCCGAAACATAATCGAGGTGGGGGGAGCCCGGGCCGCCAGACCCCCCCCAAACACCGTAGTCTCTTTCCCCAGCCATGAGGCCACCTCCTCATCTCCATCGTAGGACCCGAGGCTTGGGCACTGCATGGGGCAGCACATCCTCACCCCGCTGTAGGGGAGCGAAGCAGCTCAGGGAAGGCAGCTGGGACACCTTCTTCTCCCCACCACCCAGAGAGAGCTGGGGGATGCTTGTTCAGGCAGTTCCCAGGGGTCTGGCCCTAGACATCCCCATGGACTGGGGCAGGGAGCCCTCCCCTCCACCCCGGGGGAGGAAGAGAGAATGGAAACGGGATGCTTACAGGTACCTGACTGGACAGGGCAAAGGTGCTGGCTGGGCTCTTCTTCTTGCTGTTGCTGTTGTTGGTGTTTCCCCCACCGGAGCTCATGGTGCTGCCCCCCGACATCTTCCTTTTCCGGCGCTTGCTTGGCTGCTGCCGTGCTGGCTCCGCTGGTGGAAGAGGGAGACATGGTCAGTCCCAATGGGAAGGAGTCAGTGCCCTCCAGCCCCTTGTCCACAATGACATGCCTCCCAGGGCAGCATCACCACCACCCTCCTCCCCACTGTAGCTTCACCGTCCCCCCAGCGTGGGGACAGGAGGGGCAGCAGGCCGCCTGACCCACTGCCCCCAGCCTCACAAGACGAGGCCAGGGACGGGCTCTGGGACTGGGAAAAGCCTGTGCCCAGGACAGGGCCTGATCAGACAGCCCTGGAGACCCACGGGCAGCAGGGCAGGCAGTGTGAGACTCACCAGGCGGAGCGACCATCCGCTGCCACTTCTGGAAGAGGCAAGTCTTGAGGCAGTCCCGGGGACTGAGGCTGTAGGTCTTGTGCCGTGACATGAGCTCCTGCATTGGTTCTAGGATTACACAGAGCTGCAGGGAGCAGACAGACAAGAGGGTTAGATCACGATGCTCCAGGCCCCAGCAGACCCACTGACCCACAGCTCTCTGCAGCCCATCTTCATGATCCCTCCTGGAGAGCCTGCCCCCTTGCCCCCCCACACCCCAGGGCAGCCAGGCATCGGGCACCTTGGAGCACAAGAGGTGGCCTCCCTAGGTCCACCCCAGACCAGGAGGAGGCCTGCATCCCTCCCTTTTCATGCGCACTTACTCGGAGGTAGTTGAGTGTGGAGTTTGAGAGCCCACAGCGCGTGATGTTCTTGGATAACTGGTCCAGCATCTGGGGGTCCTGTGCCTAGGAGTGAGAGATACAGACGACTCAGCTGCATCTGGACTGGGGATGGCCCTTTTATGCCCCTGCCTGTGATGGGGGTCAGGGCTGAGGTCCCCCAGCCTGCGCTGCATGAAGAGGACAGCAGCCCCATATCACTCGTGCCCCAGGGGAGCTCCGGAGTGGTACTCACATGCATGGCAAGGATGCTGCGAGGGATGAGCTCTCGATGCTGGCGGATGCTGAAATGCCACGTCTTTATCCTCATCATGTCGTCGAACATGAACTCTAGGTAGAGCCGCCCCTCCACACACACCTGGGCAGGGCGCAGGGTCAGGCACAGGCTGCTCCCACTTCCCCCAGCCCACATCCCCTGGGAACCCACTGCACACTGGGGACACCCTCCCGGTGGCTTGTCCCCACCTGCCACAAGACCTGATGCAAGCCAAAACCAGGAGCACACACAGGACTGTGGCCACCACGAGGGCACACTGGACCAAGCCACGAGGGGCAGGAGAATCCATGGGCACAGCCAGTACCTGGGTGAACATGGGCTTGCCGTGCTGCGTGACCATGGTGCACTGGTCACAGTCCAGCGAGACGAAGTTGTTGTGGAAGGACTCCTTGGGGTGCTTGAGCACGTAGTAGAGCTCTGTGGCCCCCCCTTCAAAGATGCTGCGGAAGTAACGGGGAATCAGAGTCCGGCCAATCGCTGGAGTGGGAGAAGGAGGAAACTATGGTCAGTAAATCTGGATCACGCAGATGTGCCTTGGGGCTGTGGGTGTAAAGCATCCCCCATACCTGTTGGCTGAAGGCAGCTGAGCTCTAACACCCTGCCCACATCCCCCTGTGCAGCACAACTACCGTGTCTCCTGCCAGAGGGGCAATAATGCCCTGGGGAAGGAGGACTCAGTCTGGTACTCACTGTATCTCTTTGGTCCATCCTCCAAGCAGAAAGTGATTGTTAACATGGCGTCATCCTCAAAGAACTCCGTGGTAAAGGCATCCCACCACAGATTGTCACATTCCTGGGGATGGCAGATAGATGCTAGGTTATGGGGAGGAGAAGCAGACAGACCAACAGAGACCTTCTGGATGCCTAGCACAGCAGCCACATGCTCAGCCCCTGGAAGGCTGCATTCCTGGCTGATGGATATGGGCATGATGAGGCCTGTCCCACAGCCAAGTGAGGGACAAGGCACTTGGGGACGTGCACAGCAGGACAGGACCCCACTGCCAAGGGGATTTCTGCTAGAGCCAAGGAAGCTTGTGAGGGCAGGCAGCAGACAGGACCCCATCCCCAAAACACACAGCCGGGAGCATGCTCCCACCCTGGCTCCCACCCCTCATTGCCCAGCTCCTCACCTCTGTCCAGTTCTGCAGCCGCTTGTTGAGCTCAAATATCCTGTAGTCAGTCTGGTTCCCGTACGGCGTGTGCCTCCTGCCCGGAGAGCAGAGCAGTCAGGGGGGGAGGCAGCCACAGAGTGGGGAAGGGTCCTGAGCACATGGTGGAGCCCCTCCAGGGCTGGGCAGTCAGAGCATCCCCTCCCAAACCCCAGCCAGCAGAGTGCTGGCCCTCTAAGGCACCCCCGCCATGGGCACAAGCTCCCCTGCTAGCAGGGTCCCTGCCAGCCCTCTGTGCTTACCCGATTCCAGGCTCCAGGTACGTCGGTGGGTACATGGGAGTAGGACTGGGGAGGAAAGAGATGCAGGCAGGTCAGTGCTGGGGGGAAACTCCCTCCTTGCCCACCACAGCTCCCCCTTCCCTGCCTATAGCAGCAGGCATTGGGCTCACTGGAGGCAAGACCCCACACATGGTACAGGCTGTAGCCTGGCTGCTGACATCAGACAGCCCCATAGGGTGACCTGCACTCCTGAAACTGGGCTCTGGCTGGTGTTCCTCCGCTCCTAGTATGAGACCTGTGGCTCTCTAGGGACATGCCCAGCTCCTCTGCAGCTGGGGATGGTGCCAGGCAGGACGGAGATTGGAGAAGGGGCTGTTTTGGCAGGAGCTGAGAATGCTCCTGTCCTGCATCATGTCAGGGGCTTGGCCTGACGAGGGGCTTGGTCCCACAGAGCTCAGGGACCTGGAGGCTCTCTTCACCCCAAATATCACCACTTCTCCCCTCATTCCCACCTGCGCCTGCTCCAATCCCCTCTCCCCTTGTGCTACCTCAGTTTGTGCACTGCACTCTCTGTATGCTGACAGAGACACCCTAGGGTGCAGACCGCAGACCCCTCCCCAGGCCCCGGCTCACCCCACATCTCGATCCAGCATGGTGCCCGGGTGGAAAGGGGGGAAGGCGTTGCCGTTCGGGGGCTCCTTTGGCGAGTACAGCTTGAACGACTTAGAGGAACAGCCTGGGGAGAAAGAGGGGACACAGGTCAACTGCGGGCACCCTGTGAGGAGACACCCTGCTGCGAGGAGGAGGAAGGATGCAGGACCAGCCAAGCCTCCATCAGTACAGCCCCACCCCGCCTCTGCTCCCCCCTGATGCCAGCCCAGCCCCTTCACCCTACACACAGGTCCAGGTCTTGCCCATGCAGGATTGGACCCACAGGATCAGGACTGAGCTCTCCGGATCAGCAGCCAGAGGGGTCCAGCACCATCCCAGGGATCTTCCACTGGTGCCCAGTTTGCCAGTTCTTAGCCGGCCTGGCTTTGGGGATGGTGCCAGAGCAAGACAGCCCCTGACAAGGTAAGGGGAATGAAGACACTGGCTGGGCCCTATCCTTCTATCCTCCCCCAGCCCCCCCTCCCATGCTGCTCCTAATCCCACCGACCCGACCCTGGAATCACACGGGATCTTTTTGCTGACCTTTCCATCGTCATGGTGACGGGTGAATAATCACCCGGAGGGACGGATGGCTGGTCCCCAGGCAGCCACCATCTGCCGCTCGCTCAGGCAGGCAGCGGCTGCCTGGCTCCGGGAGGACTTAGAGATCCCACCACACATCAGCTCTGAGCAAATCACCCCAAACACTCGTTGTGCCCCCCAGCACTGGGGCAAAGAACAAGGAACCCACGGAGGACCATGGGGTGCGATTGGGCACACAACATGTGCAAGCCAGCACCCATCTCTGACAGAAACCTGGGGACCCCTGGCCTGTCAGTGGGAGACAAGGATTCCTATGGGATACCCCTGCATGGCCGGCCCCATCCAGACTCCCGAGGGGCTCCCATGCTCAGCAGCCCCCTCCTGCTGCCAGGGCAGGTTTCGGGGAGCGGCGACTGCATCACCCCTCCCTACGGTAGTCCCGGCACACCCCGCGGCTGGCAGGACCCGGCACGCTGTGGCGGGCGCTGCCGAGGCACGCAGCTCCCCCCCGGCACAGCCGGGCAGACGGGCTGACCTGGATGGGGTGCAGCGGTGGGCGGCAGGCCAGGCAGCTCCAGCTCCACCGGCTCAGCCGGCACTGCCGCGCACAGGCACGTCTGCCCATGCTGCGCTGCAGGCGCAGGGCACGAAGTCGGCTGCGCCAGGGTGCTGGATAGGGACAAGGAGGGATCCCCATCAGCTGCCCTTGTGCCCGGAGCCTTGGGCTAGGCAATTCTCAACACCCACAGGCTGCCAGCGCTGCAGAAAGCGAGCCCACTGGTGGAGAGAAGCATCCAGGAGGCACTGCTGCCCAACTGCACATCACCACACAGCCAAGCTGCAGGGAAGAGCACAAGGACAAGACTGGAGCAACCACCTGGCCGCAATGGATGAAGAAGAGGAGCAAAGACTATCAGGGTTAAGGAAAGCAGTGCCAGCAGCTCTGGGACCTAAGATGTCCAGCTTGGTGCAGTCTGTTAACTAACACAGGAGCCCAAATGACCAAGGCATCACCATCAACACTGCTGAGCCACTTGTCATCCCAAGCCTGCAGCCACAGCAATCACAGGCAAGTAAGAGCCAGTCAAAAATAGAGGGAGTCACCTCCTCAGCATTAAATCCAACTTGCAACAGAGGAAATATTAATTTCACTCCTTGATCCTTGTCTTCCTGGGACCCTGGTGCCTTCTCACTGTGTTTCCCTGCAGCAGCCAAACCCAGCCTTTCCCCATCAGGACACACCAGTCCCTGGGGGCTCACTGCTCCTGCTCCTCGCTCCTGCCCGCCCGCAGCGAGGAAAAGTGGGGCATGGCACCATTTCTCATTTAGCTGCTAACAACGCCAGCCCCTTGCTCTTACCCAGTGTTCTCACAGATAAACATTTCTTTAACAGGGAGCTCGGCGCTGGTGTAAGGGAATTTGTGCTTTCTGCTTTACCCCTGTCAACTTGTGCCCAACGGAAATGACAGCTCAACTGGGACTGCACTAGAAGCACAGCACTGCCATCTCCTCTGTGCTGCTGTTGAACAACACGATGTCAAAGCATGCTTGATTCATAGCAAACCTCCCAAAAGCATGTGTCTTCTGTTGGAAATTAACTGATTCTGTAGGCAGAGAGAGCAGTGGCTGGAGAAGGAGCTGCACTGCCCATTTTCTGGTCACCATGTCTTCTGAGGGGGCAGAAAAAACTCAGACCCAGCAGGGCTCGCTCTTCAATGCTTTGTTTTTATTCACCAGTGAGAGATGGAAGGAAAAAGCCCTCACAGTTTCCTGCTGTCCTCAGTCCCTCTTGCTTCTTGGGGTGCAGGAAGGTCTCATAAGTTGGTGAGACACAGGGCACACATCACTCTCCATCTGTTCTGCTTCTCATGCTGTTCCCTAGCCCCATGCTCCTGGAGGTGGGACAGTAGGTGAGCCAGCCCACTGCTCCAGCCCAAGCATCCATTTCCATCCTGGACCTTCCCAAGCAGGTTAATATGGACACAACCTGCTTCTGGGGCTTCGCTGAGTGACCTATCTCAGGATCTAGAGGAGTGGAGAGGAGCCTGTTATGTGACCTCAGCAACAGCGGCATCCTGATCAAGTATTATTTTTAACACAGCACAAAATATGGTACAGGATTCAGTGGTTTTAAGTAAGGCTAACAATAGCCTTAGGATTGATACAGGCTGCCCCGATCCTACGCTCACTGTACACACACCACACACACTACACGAAATAACACAGTTAATATATAGCAGCATCAACACCAACTTCCACCCACACAAGGGTCACGCTGCCTGGTCTGTGAGATCCCTCCATCACCTCCTCTCCCCTTCAGGCTCCCTAGCTCCCTGCAAACCCCATCCCATCAGGTGCCATGATCCAGACCCAAAGATGCGGCCCTTTCCCAGCCAAGCCCAGTGCTTGGCCCAGCTGATGTCCCCCATGACCCTAATGCCTCCTACTTCAAGCACAGAAGATCCAGGCAGGATCCAGGCAGGCTCAGTGCAAGCAGGGATGCTGCTTGGCATCTGGGTGCGCGATGCCCCTGTAGACCCCAAGCTGATGGGAGCGGCTTCCCTTGCCCATCCCCAGGCGCTCACCCAGCTCCACAAAAACACGTGCATGGTCGGCAAGGCAAAAAATGAGGCTGACGCTGCAGCTGGTGAGCTACCAGCCCAGACAGGCCCGGGCAGACAGCACAGTGCCTGTGGCTGGCCCCATGGCTCCTCCTCAGCAGGGAGACCGGAGAAGGGAACCCCACAGAGGGATGCCCCAGCTAAGCATCCTCTGAGGCCAGGTCCCCGGTTGGGGGCAGGATGGAGCTGATCAGCACTGCACAGGGCTGCCAGGAGAGCCGGAGCAAGGAAGCAGCTCTGTGTAGGTGGGTGCATGGGAAGGGAAAGCAGCGCTCTGCCCATGACTCATGTTCAGCCCGGCACTGCCCAGCCCTCTACCTGCCTTCCCCTCTGCTTCCCTGCAGGAAGCTCTCCCGGTGCACTGCCCAGTGGGTTCGCTGGAGCAGGAACAGTTAAAACCCTAACCAAGCCCCCAGAGCTGGTTAGGAGTCAAGAGCACTGTGGGCACCCTGCAGAGCCACCACAGGCAGAAGAGACCAGGCATTGCGAGTGGAGCTGCCTGCCCAGGCAGGGGACACACAGAGCCTTCCCGTGCCTGGCAAGGAGAACAGAGGGGAATGCAGGCAGGACCGCACTCCACTCGCTCTGCCTCACCAGCAAGGAGCTGCTGAGGACAAAAGCATAGGAATGAGTGCTCGCATCCCACCCCTATACCTGTGGCTGCCAGCAGGAATCTGTGCTCCCCATTCCAAGCAGGACTGATCCCTGGCCCGGCAGCCAGCACCCCGTGCTAGCAGCAACACTCAGCAACGAGGCAGGGGCTACAGAGGCTAAAAAAAAACCTAAATATGATAAAGATAAATGAAGAAGCGAGGCTTGAAAGAGGCCGCAGGGCTGTGGCTCAGCCGGGAGCATCCTGCTCCTCCCAGCAGCCCAAAGGAGGCGAAGAAGAGAGGCCAGCCTTCGCTAGAGGCTGTGGATGCTTCCCGGCATGCACCGTGCCTGCTTCCTGGCTGCCTAACGAGGCTTTAAAGTGTAAATAGCGGCATTGTTTTGCAGGGCTGCCTCGACGGGGTGTGGAAGCCCTGATAGCTGCAAGAAATCCATCTTCCCAGCCCAGCCCCGCTGGTAGGGCTGCCGCCGGGTGCAGGGCAGTGTCTCTCGATTCATGTGGCTTTGCCCAGGGATGGTGCCTGCTGCCCAGGAATCTGGCAGGGCTGTGGGGCAAACACAGAGAAGCATCCAGAGCAATGGAGCAGGCAGAAGCACATGGAGCAGTCCGTGGTCTGCCCCACAAAGCTGCCTTCATGTCTTCTTTCTCCTCTGCTTCAGGAAGGGTTGGAGAGAGGCCAGTCACAAAGCTCAATGTCGTTGTTAAACTGGAACCCAGGAACCCAGGCAGCACATACTGAGGCATGGCACAAGCCATCATCAGTGACAATCTCAACTTGCAGCAACCCCATTTGCTTTGAAAACGCAGAACTGACCCAGCAGAAGCTTGCAGGACACCAGGATTTCCAGGGAATAAGAGACACTGCTCCTGGAAGAGACCATGGGATGATGCCATGGACCCAGTGGCATTCAGAGACCGAACTGAGCCAGCACACCACTTATTCCTGATCTGCATGGAGGCAAAACCTGCAGCACCACCCACCCTGCTGCATGCAGGGATTACCCTCTCACTCTTCTCAAGCCACGCATCTGAGCCAGCCACAGAGCTTATCCTGACCGCAAGCTGCCTCCCTGCCTGCACCACGTGGCCGTGCATGGTGTCCCCTGAGCGCAGGGCAGCAGGGAGGGATGCGCGTCCCAGCTCCAGGTTGCACTACGGAACTGCACATTATGGTGAACATCAGTGATCAACGCTACACTATCCAAAAAGCACCAGATGAGGAGAGCGTGGTCTGGGATATGGATTTCTGGGTCGAGGCTCAGAGCAGCCCCACAGCCTCTGGTGTGCTGGAGCCCAGGGTCTCTAAGG